GCAGGGACTAGAAATCTGTACAGCTGCAAGCGTCATCTTTGTGAGGCTTTCGCATCGCTTACTGCGGCGAAAAAGCAGCATTAGGTCTATGTATAATTGCATTAATGTGCACAATGGGTTAAAAGTTTCATGGGCAAATGCACGATAAGATGCAAAACAAACAAATCGGTCAATATCGGTTAGTTGGTACTAGACTCGTCTGGGAGGAACAAAGCACTGACTTGTACGTCAGCTGGCCACCACAAGCCATTGTATAGGCCACATAGGCATTCAATACGCCACAACGATTCTGAATGGAAGTTGAATGTGGGGCGCATTCTTCATATGGTATTGATCAGCACCCAAAAACTTAATCCCTTTCTAGGATTGTTACACTAAAAAAAAGATGCTCGGGCTCCTTAGTTTGAATGTAGAGCTGTCCAAAACTTAGAAATTGTGAGTCACAGTAGAACTTACGACTACATCCACACCTGAACTGAAGAACAGATATTATTCCGTGTTCTCATACGAGCGCAACATGAAGGGCCCTACTACAATTCTTTGGCAGTGCAGTTCTTTGACAACTCTACGTAATAAGCAATACATGCGAACAGTTAAAAGAGCACTGAAATGCGAAGATTACTAGACTTAGAGCTTAAAATTCCATGCAGCGGTTTCTTTATGCTCATTGATCAGTAAGGCTGCTTTCAGACTTCAACGATTCGTCCGTCCGTCCGTCCGTTCAGCGCGTGCTGCGACGGCGGTCGCTAGAGTAGTGTTGACTTGCTGGCACTTGATCCAGTGTTGTCAACAACGGTCAGGCGCCGCCGTCGCAGCACGCGCTGAACGGACGGACGGACGGACGGACGGATGAATCGTTGAGGTCTGAAAGCAGCCTAATGAAGCAGTGCCCGAGCCCTGAATTGAAATTCCAAAATCCCAACTGAGCATAACCCCCTCCTCCGTTCCCCTTCAGAGAATTCTACGAAAAGATTTTTCAGAGTAACAAAAATAACGTCAAATAACGTCCACTAACCTCTATCTGATAATTGTTAGTTCCGTTAGTCCCGTTAACACAAGAAAGCCAACGAACACCTTCAACTCCAGCGACAACTTTTTCGTCCACCTAAACAACAATAAAAAACGGTAGCGGTAGAGGATGAGCAAAAACCGAACAATCTCCTGACTAGTTCTCCAGGTTCTTTGTTCGAGAATTCAACGAGGCCAGATAGCAAAGTTGAAAACGAAGTCAAATTTGACGAAATAGCACTCAGTTCAGGGAATGGCGCCAGTGGAAGTGAAGTAGACTTCTCGCAAATGCCAGCTAAGAATATGAACATTAGCCAAAATAGTTATAACGACTTCTCTCGATTTAAAATAATAAATGAACTCATTACATGTTCGATTGTAGAAAAATTGAGACGCATCATTCTTCATAGCAAGCCACTGCAAAGAGTCGTTCCGAGAAGAAAATAAGGTTGAAGTGACTTCAGCATTAGCAGCCTCGGTGAATGCGTGAGTAGTATTGCTGATCCAATTAGAAATGACACCAGATATCTGAACAATAGAGCTTTAAAGGGAAACGTTGCCAAAAGCAATGAAGATGAAACAAAAAGGAGTGGCTAATTTTAAAATCATTCTAGAATTGTTGAGAAAAATCATTAGCGAACCTTGTATGAATCAGGAAGCTTCACGGTGCCATTTAAAACATCTTTCTTGGCTATCGGTCTTGCAGGATCTCCACACTCAGTTGGGGACTGTCCTGACGTTAGCGTTGCAGCGGCAAAAATTATGGTTACCCGAAGCCAAACCATGGCTGAAGTAATCACTGTTTTAAATGAACTACAGTTGTTTTTCTTACAGAGCATTATAGAATAAAGCGGACACGCAAGCTTATGCAACACCGGGATCTACAGAAGCGTAATCGGCTACAACTTGCTAAAAGTCTCTACAAAGTCCATATGCCCCGGAAAATACCAGATCCACCACTGCATACCTAATTTCACCCATCGCCTTTCACTCTTTAATGAGTACTAAGAAAGAGGAAGGGAAAGGAAATGAAATAGAAAACAACAACATTCTAGCTTTATGAAACCTTTGCTCATGTTAAAATCTGTACATGACTTTGATGCGGAAGAAATGGTGACAAGAAAGGAGGAGGGGCCGCCGCGCTCTCCCACTATTTAGAGAGAGCACAGATAAGGATGGGTAGCCGGGTTCGCGTGTCCATAAAGGTGCTTAATAATATAGTTCCGGTGCTCTTTCCTCCCAAGACTTAGTTTAGAGGGAAGGAGCAGTGAGTGATTCAGTAAGTTCAATTCCTACCGCATCCCAACTGTTGCACTACGTAGTCATCTCGCCCATCTCGGTGTTTCTCCCCTACTAAGGCTTATATGGCTATGTAAAAACTAATCACATTTCTTATCTACTAACCATTTTTGAATATGAGTGACGTCTCCCTCTCCTACAAAGCCCGATGTTGGAAAAGAGCGGTGCCCCCTTCCCAACTCCATTTTCATCATGTCTTCCCTTCTGATCATGTATGAATAGTGGCCTGGTTACGTAGTTAAAACCGAAACCTTTCGAACATCGTGGAAGTTTAGAAAAACAATTACAAAAAACTAGCAGATTCAGAAAGACTGGTTATATACTGCACAATATTCCGTTCCTCGTTGCTTATTGAAATCATAACGAGCACTTCAGGACCCTCCGAAACATCCACTGCAAACAAACCCTTAATGGCTGTCTCGTTAGAAGTGGAAAATCGAATTTCGTGCAACTTTACGGAAGAGTCAGATAGTTTGTAATGTTCGGGGTTGCAAAATGGCTGCCTTCAACTCATCGCATTGGTGGAACTGCATTGCTCGATAGTTTGGCCGAAGGAGGCAGAAAAGGCGTAGGTGAGTGCTTTAGAGCGTGACATCTTAGCAAGAACCATTGTGGTTACGTCATTCGTACAGTGGCCAACGCAGAGCATGAAGGCGTGTGCAACTGTGCAGCTGTGAACCGTGAAAACATAGGGTGGGAACGGTGAAGCTTGCTTCCATAATAGGATACGCAAAAATCTAATGGTTCAGTGAAACCGCTACAGAGGATTGGTTATATCCTCCAGTTTATTTCTAAAAATACGTAATAAGAACTAAATTTCCATTCCCAATCGATCCGTACCTAAATCACGTAGTGAATTCTGCAATGCTACTTTCCTACATCAGTTTACTTCCAGATCGACGGTACCGATTGGGATGCTTTGCTTGGTGACGTGCCTTCGACCTTCTACAATATTCACCTAGTTACGATACCGCGCTTTTTCATTTGTTAACTGGCAAAACGTTCTTAGTTACTCCACGTCCATAGATAGAGGAGTAGAAGGTCGAAGGCACGTCATTCAAGTAAGACTTGACTGTCTGTATGAACCAAGGAAATTAGTTGGAAATCAACGAGATGGCTTTTAATTAATGAATGATACACCTAGCGAAGAGATGCCGATGACATAGACACAGGAGCGAGAGCGGAATGCTGACTCGTCTCCTGAAATTGTTGACACTGAAGCCCTAAAAAAGAAACATTGAGGGCAATAAACACACTAAAAGGGTAGGCAATCGTTAAGTGTTACCACTGAACGACTGCCCACATTTCTGGGTTTCGGGATCGTGTATAGATTGGTGAAATGACTGAAGATCATTGACAACAAATTCACTGTTTAGAAACTTTCACTTCCATGAAATGGGAGAACTGACCTTTATGTAGGGCCAATCAGTCACGGCTACATTAAACAATCATGCAGTAACTATAGTCATCATACTGACTGTCCTGAAAAGCATAAGGGCGATTGTCTTATGCTTTTCAGGTCAGTATAGTTGAGTCGCTTAAACCGTTTATCACCTTTAACTACACTTGCTGGTTGAAGATAAAATGCAGGTAAGACGTAGAGAAACGCAGACGAAACTCATTACTTTATGATAGCCGAGGCTGATTGGCCCCATAGGTTTAATGTAAATACAACATGCACCATCTTCAACAAAACGAAGTCAGAAAGCCTAGTAAGGTGCAGGTCAACAGGACGAAACGAACCCAAACGGACGAGAATATAAATATTACAGGTGGAAGCACTGAGATTCAAAACAAAAGTACATTTGTGGTCAGCGAGGAGTCGGCTTGAAGTTCCATCTGTAGGTTACAGGGCTGTTGTCAACCAGAATTTCTCTCGCTGAGAGAATCAGACGGCGAAGCAATCTCTGCGTCTCGTGTTCACCAGCAAGAGGAGAGCGTGTCCGCTCGTTGTCCGTACTCTCCTTCAGAGTGCTCTCTCGTCAAGAGTAGACATTCGAATGGGTCCAAGAGTCGAAGAATCTTCGAAAGACAGACTTCTTCCAACTAAAGAAACTTCTTATTTCGAAGTTCAGGAAGTCTGAGAGAAGCAAAAACTTGATCCTTGTCCAAATATTAATGAAACATCTGCATTGAACATCTACACCGCGAAAAATCCATGTGGCTTGTAGAAAACCCAAGTTTGCAACCTATTTCCTACTTCGTTTTTATGGGAATCAGCGCTGAGATCACCAACATCGTTTGTAGGTCTGCAACACCATTGATTCAATCTTTTCGCTAGGTATCCTATTGTATCACTGGTAATCGGAGGCATTGAGGTATGGCGAGCTCTTTCGTCTGCCCTCTATCCTCTTCGCAGTGAGATGCCTATTTGGGGAGACGCAGAGAAAACGACAAAAACGCTGAGTCACTACACACGCGGTTGACAACGGTCCTGTAACCTCCATCTGTATTATAGTACGCAATTACACCAATTCATGTCCTATCGTAATGCCGAATACTCTTTCGCCTAGCATGGATTACGCACTCTCGCCTTCGCGCTTGCAGGTGTATGTCTTCCAAGTGGAACTTGGCTTTTTTTCCATACTCTTGTTGTAGAACTTTTATAAGTGGTATTATTTTATAGGCCGTTCCATTTTTCTACTAATCTCCGTCTTATTGAACTGAGCCTTACACACTTTTTATAGAATCTAATGGAGCGGTTGTATCAAGAGACATCAAGTCTGCTTCAACAGGCCCACTTCAGCATGGGGAAGCTTGAACGTGCAAAGGATGAACAAGAAGCCCAACAAATCTCCCAATATATCACTGAGCAGCTACGGTATGCTAATAATTAATCGTTTTGCTTCTTTAAATGTTTATTTCATTAATCGTTACATTATTGGATACAGAAAGACTTGGATCGTATCTGAAACCCCATTTGAAAGGCACTGTCAAGCCGGTCTCAAAATTGATGTTCATTTTTGGGGCCAACGCTCACCAATCTAACTTGCCTGTAAGACTATCCAATTCTTTCTTTGATCAATCACCTATGGGCATACGGTGACACTGTCGTCTAACCTTAAGCACTGGAAAATGTTGGACTAGTATAGCTAGATAACAATTTAGTTTTACACTGTAGCCACTGCGTTTTGCGAGTTGCTTGTGCTGACCAAGGCCCAACACCACTTTATCAGGTTTAATGACTTTTGAAGTTTTGCTTATTTGTTATGGGCGGGTTTTTTGCATGTCGAAGGAAATACGGTGATCCATTTCTTATGTCAGCCGAAAATTCTGGTGTTGAAAATTTCGCTTTGTAAATGCAGTATAATTGAAGCGGAAGAAAATCTCCAGTTTATATGCTGTCTGCTTGAATTTCGTTCTTTTCTTGTGAGTAAAACTTGGCCATGCAGTTTTGCTCGATAGGTGAGGACTAGTTAAAAAAGACTAGTGGGCAAGTGAGACAAAACTAAAAATTTGCACTATAGTTCGTGTATCACGAAATCTCGCTTTGCGATACCTCTAAAGCTATTGTGAGTCAGGCAGGTGATCTTGCATAGGAATCGGGCAGTTGGATCGGTCAATATTAGTGAGCTCACTTCGCTTCATTCTGGTTCACAGTAGTTATTTCTGTCTAGAATCGAAAAATGTTGCTCATTAGCAGTAGGTCAATGTGTGGTCCTTGGTATTTGCAGCCAGAGTTGACGGGAAGGATCAGGGGCATCTCTCAAGGACAATCTGGATGCATAAGTTTAATATGAGAAAGAACTCAAATTGGATTACTAAATGAGACAATACGTATTCAGAAGACAGAATTAACTCTTACTGACAATTGCGCTTAATGGCTTTGTAAGGGCTGTTCATCACCTTTGCTATATGCATATTTGATTTGGGTTTCTACCGACGAGGTCGATTTTGGCCTCATCCAGCGCGCATATGACTTTTTTGAATTTTCAACATTTGATTGTTGGGGTATGTAAAATATAAGAGAACTGAGTTAACACTATAAAGTTTAAGATAGATGTGATGTGAAATAGCAAGCAGCTGGTATTCTTATCTTCGAAATCGTGTGCTCTTTTCAAAACTTCTGAAACTATGTAGTCAAATCTGATGCTTCCCTCTTCCAAGGGCAAGATGCTACGAAACAAGGGTTTAGACAGTTCTTATTTTTGAAGCCTTCTTTCTTAGAAAAGCTCAATGGCAGCTGCACTAAATCACCCATCCTTCAGGTGAACTGGAGGTCACAAGAATGCATTTCTATTCCTTTCTTTCTGAGAATGTTCCGCTCATTTGTTTTGATTTTTAACACAAGGGCTTAACGGTGGAGCATTTGGGATTGATCCCACAATTTATATTTCACGAAAACAAAATTTATGGTGTCCGTTAATTTTTAGGGCATAGGTTACGACTTTTGGTAAGCAATTTCTGAGGGCAGCAAATGCAAATGACGACTTTATGTTGGTTGAGGAAGGTTGTCCTGAATAGGAACCGGTATTGACGTTGGCCGTAGGATTAGCTTGCCGACCCTTTTTTCTTGCCCCTTTTTCGCTGAAATGCCCTCTGCTTTGATGCATAGATTTGTGTGATTCTGATCCAATGTTGCCGCAACTCCTAACCTACCTTGCACCATATTTCTACTACTGATTTTATAGTAATGTTGATATTGCTACTGCAGTGCTATTGTTTTTTGCTCTTAAAACAGTATTGCAGTGTTATTGACCAGAACTGCGACCAACTCGTCATTCTTGTGAATAAAGAAGTCCCTGCTCGTCGTCATATCGTAAGTTTTACTTTAGCTCTACATTAAACTGGTCGAAGTCGAAAATAATTTGTGATCTTTGGGTTCAGCTCTTGTTGCACTATTATTCTGCCCATTTATTCTCTTTTTTTTTGCCATCATTACGTGAATAGATCTTGTGCTCTTTTGATATATCATATGAACTGGGAGAGAAGTTTTCAGTAGTTTCTCTTTTGTCAGGTTGTCAGGTTTCCATAGAAAAAGTTGTGGGGTTGGACGCTGACGCGAATCGACTGCATCCATTACCAGGGAGTTAGTGCGCCAAAGGAGATCTTGTCGAAATTTTTGTTGATTTCAATGAAACTTATTTGGGTTGAGGAACTGATTTGTTCCTTTCAATGCCCCTCTGAGTCACAATTATTAATTATAGTTAAGATCGTAGGTGTCGCTTCATAACTCATTCGTTCCATTAACATGCTCGTGCTATCTTATGATTTTCAGCCGTTTTATTTTAGGTTCGGATCAAGGTTGACCAGCTGAAAAGCGATAGCCAGAGTGTTCATTACGCTATTTCGGCAATCTTTTCAAGGCTCAGTGTTAAATGGCGTGCAGCCAGCGAACGCGAGGAATTACTGCATCAAAGGTAACTTGCACCAGCCACTGGCCGCTATTATTCAGTTCGAATACATCTTCTCTGCGAATCAGATTTCGACCGAACGAATCAACCTCGTTGTCATTGGAAGATCACGAGCTTCAGATGAACGATCGTTTGAGCTCCTCTAATCGCCAGGTTTGTTTATTCAAAGATATTCTATGCTTCATGTTTACGTGATATATGCGCGGTTTTTGCAAGACTGCGGTGCAAGAAGCCAAACGCATTTCGTAATTTCTTGTATCCTTTTCAAACGTTACTTCAACGATCGTTTTGTGAGTGCCATTAACCCATTGCGTACCGCAGTGTTTTGCGCTAGCTGCTGAATGTGCCCGGCGTTTCCTTCGAAATCGAGCGGGCGAAGTGGTTCACGGCGTGCAGCACTCAGCCACACAGAGCGGTTGTTTGAGCGAATCGCAAAGTATGGACTGTTCAAACTTTATCAAAGCTCTAGAGTGATTTTGGACGAAAATGCGGGCGCGCAGAGGCGGTTGGGCGTTCTTCACCATGTGCAGCACGCGGTACGCATTGGGTTAAAGGCGTTTCCGATACTGTCCTTAATGGCATTCACAAAACCCTGCGAACTGGCATTGCAGAGGACTACTTTGTTTGAGTTCCTTTCTCTGAATTGCTCTCTGAAGGTGCTTCGCTTTTGTTAAAGGTCGATGATTTGATCAGTCAAGGAGTCGCTGTTCTCGAAAGCCTCCGCTCGCAACACATGAGTCTTCGCGGAGTCCGACGGAAGATTCTGGACATTGGAGCTGCTGTGAGATTTTTGAGCTTGTCTATTCCTTAGAGGGCGGTTCTTCAAGGCGCTGACTTTGGTTTTCAGCTCGGGTTATCAAACACAACTTTGCAAATGATTGATCGACGAGTGCGAGAAGACTGGATGATTTTTCTCGTTGGTTGTGTGGTAACGTTAATCTTTATGTATGCATTTTATCGATTTTGGAAAGGATAATGTTGTTCAAATATTTATTTAAATCTTGCTATGCTAGTTTTTTTCGACTGTGATACATTAGTAGTCTTGATCAGTTTTGGGGAGGTGGTTCGGAGTATCGTTGTGTTGTTTTTTATTGTTGCGTGTCTGTAATTAGCTATCTTTATCCAAAGATGAGACTTTGTATTTCAAGTCCTATTGTTTGAGGAATGAAATCAGTTAAGCTCAGAGTTGATGCTCATATTTCTACATCCGGACACTTGATGAGCATAGTCACAATAGTCACCTAGTAGTGAGCCCGCCCAGTTGAAGGACAGTTACATGTATTACGTTTGTGAGCCGTTGGTAGACGGTTGATAATCCGGTATATCAGGAAGGTCTACTGGTCGAACCGGCTGAGACGAAGTGATGAGAGAGAAAAGTAGTCACTGATAAATTACTGGGTTTTTATACTGTTTACACCTTGCAAGTCGTATCAGCGTACAGTGATCTCAGTAATCCGTGAATACCTAACACCTCCCCTTTTTAGGAGAACATTACATGCAATACTGATCTGTTCATATCACAAGTGACGATAAGTCTTCGGACGCGGATCCACTTGGAGACGAGTTGTTGGTCGTCGTGTACGCGTCGATCGTCGTGGTTGGTAGACAAGGCTGTTATCCACGGA